TTACTGTTTTGCCTTTCATATTTAGATCTATGTCTAAGAGATATTCTTACGATTTTAAGGTTTAAAATCTTGAATCTTGAAGTGATAGAAATTCTGAGGGGGAAATTGCTCAGAGGGCACTGACTGCAAAAAGCAGAGTGAGGATTTGAACCCAGGGGGCACTAACTGCAAGAAGCAGAGTGAGGATTTGAACCCAGGACTGTCTGTGTCTTACTCAGCTAGAGCCTAGGACAAGATGCGCTGGCAGGGGAACCCCCCAAGAAAGGTGGCTGAGGAGTGATCCCTTCTCCCAGAGGACCATAGGCCACTCATACCTCAGGAAACAGAATACTGGTGAATAAAGGGCCTGATACTGGGGCTGGTTTGGCTCCTAAGACCACTCAGGGCTATGGTGCAGTCTTGGGGGGCAGACATCCCATAATGTTTTTAGGAATTCATGTTCCATGAACCACATGCTGAGAAACTGTTCCAAAGCTCCGTGGTTCAATGTGATGTTGACAAGCCATTAAGATCACTAAGATTTATTAAGGCCAAGAGGTCACTGGCTTTGCCTAGTCTAGTAGTTTATCTCATCCTACCTACTGAAGTAACATATTAATAGATTTTCTGGTCTGAAACCATTCTTGCATTCCTAGAATAAGCCCTCTCTACATATGGGATACTATTTTTTTTTTCATTTAAAGGTTTTTTTTTGTTGTTGTTGTTGTTGTTTTTAGAGAGAGGGAGAAAGAGAGAAAGAAAGAGAGAGAATCCCAAGCAAGCTCCGCACTGTCAGCACAGAACCTGACATGGGGCTCGATCTTACGAACTGCGAGATTATGACCTGAGCCAAAATCAGGAGTCAGACACTTAACTGACTGAGCTACCCAGGCACCACTGGGATATTATTTTTCACACACTGTTACCCTGGTGCTGGTTTATCAGATGCCCTTGTAAATTCTGGGAGCTGAGGGAACCTCTGTGGAGCAGGGGACTAAGTCCCATCACCTTTAACATTTTCCAGAATCAGAACCCACAAAAGCAAAAGACCAAAGGAAAACTTGAGGAAGATGATACTATGGTCCAAGTCCACAGCCCTAGTCTGGACCAGCTATGGTGGGAGAGCTGAGGATAATTTGCAGCATTCATAAATTTAACATTTTCTCTATCAATTATTCATTGAACTTCCTAGAAAGTCCATGTTGTAGTAAATGGTCATTTTTCCAAGCTATGATTTGAGTCTTGTAATACAAGCTGGGATGTGAGAGCAAATCCCCCTAGCTGATGAGTGGGCCAAGCCAGCCCCCCAGCCTCTGCTTCCCAACACAGTTCCAGCATTTCCTACTCATCAAGCATGACAGTGACTCACCTGGTGTTATATAACCCTGTGTTCTTTGTGGAAAATAGCCTAAGAGCCAACTCTCAGCGTGGACAAAAGAGGAGAGAAAATGAGGAGATCGGGGCCAGCAATGATTCTAGCAAGAAAATGAGAGTTTGGTGTGGGTTCAAGTGGAAAGCCTAATTCTGTCATGGCTTTGGGTCTGTAACATAGGCCAGTTCACCATTTCCTCCGCAGAAAGAGGGAAACGTGGTTTGTGATGCTGTTACAGCAAGTTTGCCAGCCATTAAATAACCCATCAAACCAGAGATAAGACCTTAGTGAATGATGACAAGACAGTAAACTTGCGGAATTTAGATATGTAGAAGTACATGTGAGTTAATTTTGGGGAGTTTATTAAAGTGGCATCTTAATAATATCTTACATGGCCTCTTAGTAGTGGAATAAATCACTTTCATCTTTATGGAATGATGAAAGGCCTGTGGGTAGTCGCTTATACTTTCCAGTTATATTTAATGCAATGGTTGAAAATGTTCGGGGCAGTGAAGCACTCTCCTATGAACACTGATGTGTAAAACACTGAAGCAGAGTGACTCCGCGGGAAGGGGGAGCAGTGAGCCCTATCCAGTACCGGCCTTCCCCTCTCAGCACTGGGGCACCTGGGTGGGACCTCTTGCCCCCCACAGTTTGAGAGGTTCATTTTCATCTGATTCGTATCATGTCCCCACTGTTTAGAACATGTTCAGGCATGGACTACCCACTTAGTATTTGTGAATGGATGGGTGGATGGATGGATGGATCAAGTGAATTCTGAGTAGATGCCTAAGTAGATAAATACATAGGAGGATGGATGATTGGTTGGCTGAGTGAGTTTATAGAGCATTGATTGTAGATGACTTTACATTCCAATCTTTCTTTCTCCTATGATCTGCCCAACTTGTGATGCCACAAAGGGCCAAGTAAAAGTTTTCAGGACCCTGACATGACATTAGCTGACTTCTCATAGAAATGTATCCCCATTGTAAGAAGAATCCTGAACACCAGGTAGCCTTTCCCTCACCCCCAGAATCCCAACATTCAGGTGCCATCAGGATGACATCCTACAGCCTTGCCCCAGGAGCACCTCCTCCTTTCCTAAGCTCCCTTGACACCTCACCCCTCAGTGTACCTTCCCTCCTCTGATGTTGTCCTGCTGGTTTGTCCTCCAAGACCCAGCACCCCCGCATGGATGTCCCTGGCCAGCCCCCAGCACTCTGACATCTCTCCATCACAGTCACCTGGCAACCAGAGGATGGGGACCAGCAAGTGGGCTGAGATGCCACCCTAAGAAGCAGAAATGCCCAAGCAAGTGAGCCTGCCTTGCCGTGTCCCCTGCCCCATCCCCTCTCCACGTCCCTGCCTGGAGGCTGGGACCAGCCAACGGCAAACAGAGGGAAGATGGTGCCTGAATCCTTTTCCCCACATTCCCTCCAGTGACCACACAGCCTCACACTGGTGTTGGTAGCGGTACAGGAAGAAGTGCATTGCCAAGGCCATACTTGCCACAGAAGTGGACCTATGACAAATGTCTTCAGACTTTTCTGTGACAGGAGACATCAGTCAGATTTGAGTCTGTGGCCCCCCCTTTTCCTTCCAGCCTGCCTCTCAGAGGGGGCAGGCAGGACTCTAGATCTAACAATGTTGGCTCAGCACCTCCAGTGTTTCAGTGTCCTTTCTTTGTCAGCTCCTCAGGCAGCTTCAGTCTGCAAAGACTGCTTCCCTGTACCCAGACAGAGGGATTGCAGAGCTGCCTGTACACCAAGCTCAGCAAGGACTTGATAATGATCGCCAGCCTCAGTTTCCCTGACCTGCATGTTCCCCAGACTGGAACCAGCCCTGACCCCATTTCCCTGACACAAGACTGGATCTTACTGCCTCTCCTCATCCCCTCTGGGCTCACCTGGCTGCCACCCCCCTCCCCACCCCTCTCAGACCCATTCACCCACGCTGGAGGGAGGACAGTTCAAAAATAAGTGTCTCTTTGGACAGCTGGCAAGCAGGTCCAGAGAGGGCAGGGGCATGCCACACATCACAAAGCAAGTGAGTGATAAAACCAGGAACAGAATCCAGTTCTGCTTCTACCTCCACCACATCCTGCTCTCTTCCCCTGCTAGGTGCCACTATTTGATGAATTATCAGACATACCTGGGTTCAAATCCCAGATGTGCCACAAAACTAGGGCAAATCTTCAGCTCACCAAGACCCAGTGTCATCATCTATAAATGAGGGTACCAACGGCATCTGCATGGAAGAGAAGCAAGCCCCAGACCCAGCTCCACATCTAGGCCTGGGTCATGTAGAATCTTCTAACTCAGTTGTGGTTCCCAGTCCCAGCCCTGGACCAGAAATCTGGAGGCAAAGACTTCTTCCTGGCGCAGCAGTGCCCATTGGACCCAGGCACCACCCCAGCCCCAGAGAGGGCCTTGGGACCCCATCACCAGAGTGGGAAAGCATCAGGCCTGTCTCTGAGGCCTGCTCAGAGCACATCAACTCGGAGAGAGAAAGGAACTCTCTGCAGTGGCCTTCTGCCCATCAAGTGCGTTCAACTGAGCCATGCTTCATGCTCAGCTCTGCACGGTATGGGCCGCGGGCCTCAGCCCCCTCCACCCCAGCGCTGTGCTCACGTGGACCCCGACAACAGCTTCCTCACTGGTCTCCCACTTCCCACCCTGGCCTCCTTCTGCAGCCAGAGGGCTCTCCTAAAACACTCTGACCACACTCCTTCATCCATGTCTCTCTTTGCCCTTGGGATAAAGGATGATCTCCTGATTTGACGTTCAAGATCCCTCATGGTCTGGCCAAGGCCAGCCCCTCTAACCTCAACCTCCACTTCTCATGATTCCTCAAATGCACTGAGCCCTCCTTGGGGGCCCCACGGTTCTTCTATGGTGGAATTTGCCAGATTAATTTACACTGATCTGGAGCCCACCCCAGACCCAGACTCCTCAGTTAAGACCTGATTTACTCCCTTAGATGATAGCACCTCCTCCATTCCAACAATCTGTCAGTGCTTATAAACAGCTGTGGATCCCATGTCTGGGCTGGACGATTGGATGAGTGATGGCCAGAAGGAAGGGCCAGTGGATGAGTAAGAATGACTGAGGTCAGCTCATGAGATCCACCCCCACACACTCAAGCACACAGAGCAAGCAGACCCTGACCTCCCTCCATGCCATTCAAATGGCTCCTGGGCTCCCTTTCTGTGCTGGCCTTGCCCAAAGCACTGGAGAAACCTAGTGACAAGACAGAGAGGACGCAGGTTCTGCCCTCCAGGGGCGAACCAGAGCAGACATGAATGGAGGCTCGGGAATTGCATAGAACAAGCTGGATCTAAGTTCTGGCTCCACCACTTTTACTATCTCTGTGCCTCAGCTTCCCCATCTATAAAATGAGGGGAAAGTCAACAGGTTGCTGTGATGATAAATGAGATAATGGTGCTTGTAAAGGGTGTAGAGCCTGACCAGTGCTGGTAGACCTCAGTGAGAGCTTCCCTATCATTCACATTGTTCCTTGGTGGAGGAGTTGCCCCAGGGCCCTCCCCACAGTCCCAGCCACGCCTCTGGAACAGATGCCAAGATGGAAGATACACAGACTAGGAGACCCCTCCGCCAGCCCTCGATTGTTTGCTCCTCTCCCTGAATACCTGCTTGCCCTGCTCTGTCTCTTCCCGACACACAATGGCTCCCTTCTCTGGAATCCCAGTATCTTATCAGCAGTGTTCAGCTGTTGATATGCCTTCACCCTGGATAAGCCGCAGGTCATAGCCTGCTTTGACTATAATAAAGTGATTCAGAAGAAGCAAAGCATCATTTTAGGGATAGGAACGTTTTCATTTATCAAGATCAAAACAAAAAAACAAAAAACAAAACGAAACAAAAAAAAAAACATGAGCTCTCAGAGCCTAGTGCCTGATAATCACAGAATAGCACCTTGGCTAAAAGCATGGGGTTTAGGCTGCCCACTGACTCAGGACCATCTCTGTGGTCTATGTGACCTTGGGCAAGTTACTTAACTTGCCTGGGGCTCAGTTCCCCACCCCCCAATTAAAATGGGGATCCCATCACAGGCCATCGTGAGAACTGAGGTAATCTAGTGTATGAGAAGTACCGAGTGTGGTGTGGGACACACACTAAGTGTTCCAGAGACAGTACCTACTCATGCTGGTATGTTGGGGGCTAGGGGGGAGGAGGCGGCCTCTAAGGGAAGAGCTGGTATCTTGAGGTACAATTTCCTCTTGATTGTGGGCACATTTGTAGAAGGAGCTTGGGAACAAAGTTCAAGATAGAGGCAGAATGGGCTTTATGCTCTGTCCTTGCTGCAGCTGGTGTGGGGTGAGCAGGGAGGCAGAGGGGTGGGAAGCAAGGGCTGTCAGAGATATCATATATATCTTGTTGATAAAATGGGCCCTGTGTTTAGAAATTGGAAAGAATTTCCCTCATAATTTAAAGTAGCACCTACCTCTGCCGGTCGTGGTGACTGGAAGATTAATTTCTCAACCAGCCACGCAGACAGATGCTTGTGCCAACTGGCTCCATCTGCAGGCATGGGTGATGCCATCTCTGTGCCCAGCTGGTAATGAGATGGGCACTGCCAGGGGGGCAAGGCTCTCATCTGATGCCAAGGCCGTGGAGGGAGGGGCATCCTCAAGGTGACCCTGAGGGGCCAGCACCTCGCTGCGTGCTAAGGAGGACCGGCACATGTGCATACATCTAACACTAGGGGTTCACTCTGGGCACCTGCAGCCTTGATGGGGCAGCTCTCTGGTACCATGTCTGCCTTGAGTCATGGGTGACCAGTGTGCCCTGGGACACAATGAACAGGACAGAGTGTGGACACCATACACTCCTACCCTCTCCAAGGAAAGGTGATGTCATTGACACTCCCAAGTCCTGCTCTTGGCTCCAGACGTGAGAGGCCACATGGTGAGGAGGAAGAGGGTGACATTGGTTGGACATCTGGCTGGCCTATACTTTAATGGAGAGAATACAGTAGCAGGTGGCCACTGGCTTAGCTTTAGTCTAAGCCAAAGCCCTGGCCCCCAGCTCAGGAGTGGTAGCACTGGGGCACTGAGGTCACACTACATGAGTGGGACCAAAAGCTCCATTTCATGCCCAGGTGAATCACTGTGTGGAGTGCTATGTTGAAAAGGATGCTGAGGCTGCATCCTGGACCAAACAGGAAAAAGAGCCATGGTCAGTAGCATCTGCCACTGGCCCAGCTTGAGGTAAGAGTGGTGGGCTTGCTCCATGTCCACAGCCAAGGACTGATTCCTCGAGGTCAGACTGGACAACTGAAGTGGATCTCTTCTGCCTGAGACAAAGATGAGGAGGAGAGCTTCATTTTGCCACTTTTCATCTCTGGGTCTTGAAGAAAAATGGAAAACTTTAGGTTAATGTAGCTAGCTGACAGCCAAGGGAATAAAAATAAGAAGCTGGCACTTCATCAAAACCTCAAACCATCACAACCAGTCAAAAGTAGACACAAAACCAAAGTCTGTACCTTGCTGAAAGTGGGGTACGGAAGTCTCAGACTGTACTGTTGTGTTGTGGGTTTCTCCCTTCAGCCTTTGTTCTATGTATTTTAGGACTGTGTGCATATGTTTATATTTGCTATAGCTTCCTGATGGGTTGACCCTTTGTCATTATAAAATGTCCCTCCCATCTCTAATAGCATTTTTTGTTTTAAAGTCTTTTTTTCCTAATATTAGTATAGCCACTTTGGGAAGCCTCCTTTGATCTGATCTGACCTCCTGACATGTCTGGGTCAGTTACCACCTGATTTCCCTAGAATGCCCTGGGTAAGGTTTTTCCCTAAAGCAGGAGGCCAGTGTTGCGGGCCAACAGAGTTGGTCCTCATACTTCGACCTTCTGTGCATTTCCCCACACCTTGCCAAGACCTCGGTAAAGTTACACTGACCTTCCAACCTCACACCTTGGTGGAGTGGAGCCCCTGTCTAGTACTGAGTCTTGGGTTCCAGCCTCTGCTCTGCCACTAATTTGCTGTGTGACTTGGACAAATCCATTGCCTTCTTCCAGCTTTTCTTTTGCTACCTGTGAGTTAGTTGAGCTCTCAGGACAGAGGCTGGAGAGGAGGGGAGGCCAGTGGCCACTGGCAGAGGCTCCTGCAGCTAGAAGGGCACAGTGCTGCTCTCCTCCTCCCTGGCACGAGAGCAGCTAGGATACAGTCCCTGGGGCTCACCCCAGACGATCCTCCATTTATTTAGGGACAAATAACTCACAGGGCAGCAGGTATAGAGAAGGAAGTGTGGCAAGTTCTGTGCCTTAGTTCAGTGCCCTCTCTTTTTGTTCCCAATAGCTCGCTACAACCGTACCAGCTATTTCTATCCAACGTTCTCAGAAAGTTCGGAGCACAGCCACCTGCTCGTGTCTCCTGTACTGGTGGCAAGTGCAGTCATAGGTGTGGTCATCATCCTCTCCTGCATTACCATCATCATTGGCAGCATCCGCAGGGACCGGCAGGCCCGGCTCCAGCGCCAGCGCCAGCGCCACCGCCGCCACCATCACCACCACCATCACCACCGCCGCCGCCGCCACCGAGAGTATGAGCAAGGCTACGGTGAGCTGCTGTCCACCCTGGGCCCGGCGTCCCACCCAGCTGTGACAACCCATGGGGGAGGTGGTAGCCCTGTCATGGTAGGGGTGGGCAGGGTGGTTGGGAAGGCATCCTGGAGGTGGTCAGGAAGAGACCAGAGGCACGCACCACAATGCTCTTGGAGGCCTGAGAAGTCCAGTAGTCTACCAGGGGTGAGGCTGAAGGTCAAAGGGAGGATGTGAGACTACTCCCCAGCCTTGGCCACAGTTGGTCCAGGCTGTACTGCCAGCTGGTCCAGTTGGTGCCTGGATGGAGAGACGGATGAGGAGATGGATGGGTGAGCAGGATGACAGGAAAGATCAGTAGGGGGTGAGGACATGGATTGGTGGAGGGACTGGGCAGGATGAGTGAGTGGATGGACCACAGGCTGGATGGAAAGATGGATGAGTGGGTGGGATGGGGGGATGATGGCTAGATGGATGGATGAAAGGTGGACGAATGAAGAGATAGATAAATGGCTGGAAGTGGGGTGGACACAGGTGTGGACTGGACGGGATGTGTGACTGCATGGATAGATGCAATGGGTGTGGATGGGTGGAAGATGGGTAGATAGGAAGGTAGAGCGGTGGATAGTGCGAGGGTTGGATGGGTATATGAATAAGTGGATATATGAAAGACGGCATGAATGATGAGCAAATGAATCTATCCCCAGAGAGCCTACAAAGCGCGAACAGAACTGGTCTGAGAGTTTCCCAATTAGGGGAATCACCCTTACACAGATTTGGTTGCTAATTCTTCAGCCAACCAGTCCAAGAAGTATCCATCTGGCCAGAAGGCCTGAACTTTTACACATTACAGCCAGCTGACTCTGCCTTACACTTGGAAGGGGCCACTTATCTAAAAGCAGCAGGAAGGAACTCAATCCATTCAATTCTTAGACAGTTGTCAATGGCAGGAAAGAGCCTGCCCTGAGGCCTGATGGGACCTCTGCCTATAGTTTGGGGTTGTATATCCCCAAAGGCCACCATCACACTATAGGGTAAGCCATATGGAGGCTCCAGAGCCATGTCAGGGCCTGAGAGCCTTCCGTCCTACAGGACAGGCAGAGCTTGAGAGAAAGAAGGAAAGGAAAAATTAAAAAACAGGTTGGATGGGATCTCATCAGCCTGGACCTTGGGAGGCCTGAAATCCACAGCCCCCTCCCAAAATGCCCTGATTAACCAGAAGCTTTGGGCCACTTCCTCTCCCTTTCCACACAGTTAACTGATTGAGGAAGGTGCCACCATTTATCAATTAAGGATACCCACAGTTTGTGTGCTGAAGCAGGTAAGAAGCAGGAGGTGGGCACTCACTGCATGCCTGGCCCTTCTCACACAGAATCTCATTTAATTCTCACAACAGTCCTGGAGGTAGCTGCTGTTTATTACCTTCCCAATTCACAGATAAGGAAGTTGAGGTGTTCAGGCTATTGTAATAAAAACACCATAAACGGGAAGGCTTGTAAACAAGAGAAATTTATTTCTCAGTTCTGGAGGCTGGGGACTCCCAAGATCCAGGCACCTGCAGATTTGGTATCTTGTGAGGGCCCGGCTTCTGGCTCATAGACGAGCCTTCTCCCTGTGTCCTCACATGGTAGAAGGGACAAGCTAGCTCTCTGGGGTCTCATATCTTATAAGGGCACCAATCCCAACTATGAGGGCTCCACCCTAATGACCTAATCATCTCCCAAAGGCCCCACCTCTGAATAGCAGTACCTTGAGAGTTCAGATTCAATATATGAAGGGGGGGGGGGGGGCGGGTAGGTAGACAGAAACATTCAGACCAAAGCAGGGTGGCCAAGTAATCTACCTAGGGTTACCCAGCCAGGTGGACCCCAGATTTGAGCCCAGGTGGCCCGATCTGGAGTCCTGCAGGATAATCACTGTGCAGCGCTGGCTCGGAGGGGCCGGTGCTCACGCCTCTGAGGGAGGTTGCTGGTGTGGGCACACCGCCAGCAGGGGCCGCACCTGAGCTCAGGGCACTGTGTGGCACACACACTCAAGACCTGGGGGCCCTACAGACCTGGATGTTGCTCCTCTGGCTATGCCGTCAGGAGAAGTACAAGAGCAGGAAGCTGGGCCTCTGGACAAGACACAGAGAGACGTCACCATGGCAGGGAAGGCCGCAGTGAGAGAAACGTGCAGTGGGTCAGTGGTTCACCCTCACTGCCCAACAATGGAGACTAAACAGAAAAGTCAGCACTAATAAGGCAGATATTGAAAGTTTGGCCAGCCCAGTCCCCAGAAACTAAGGACTCCTCAGGAAGACAAGCCGGGAGCATTGCCCAGACCAGCCTGACCCTTGCGGAAGGCAGGGCTCCTGCCTGGAGCTCCCCAGGAGCTGCCAGCGCTCCCCAACAAGGAGCCCTGCTCTCACTCGCAGCCTCCCGCTACGCTGCCGGTCAGGCCTAGGACGGCCACCCTGCCTGCCTCCCGTGGCCCCACTCCTGCCTTCCCTTCCTCCAGCTCATCCCCAAGCACTTTGGTGCTCCTTCCCACCTCCACTCCTTTGCACAGGCCCTTCTCAGGCCCAGAACGCCATTCCCTGTACTTCCCCAACTGACAAAAGCCTGCTTGTCCCTACAGACCCAACTCAAATACCATTTCCCTTTGGTTGCTGCTCTGGCCCCCTCACCCCTTCCAGGCAGGGTAGAATCGCCCTTCCCTGCACTTCCTTGACTTACCCACACTTCCACCAGTGCGCCTGTCATGGAATGACAGGGAAAGCAGGGCTGTGTGACATCAGGAAGAACAGGGCCTGGTGTAGCTCTCACCCAGCCGGGCCCACAGCCCTGCGTGATCTGACCCAGAGAACATGCTCCATGGGCAAGGGTACGAGCCACCTCATTTCCCCTTCACAGCAAGAGCTGCATTAGCCCATTTGAAAGACTGGGAAACCAAAGCAACTTGTTGAACAGCCTCCAAGTACCAGGCCTGGGTAGCCCACGGGAGATCCCAAGCTAAAGTTTGAGAGGTCGACCTTGGCCTTGAGGAGACAAATGGCCCTGGGGGTCACAGGATCTCTGGAGTAGGTGGGTTGACAGCAGGTCAGAGCCAGGCCAAGCCTGGGGTCAGGCCTCTGCGGCCGTGTGCTGTGTGCCAACAGGCAGCAGCAGGCTTGCGTCCCTGTCACCATGGGTACCCGCCTCCCTGCCCCACTGCTGTTCTCAGCTCCTGCTTTGGCACCTCCCTGGGGCCCCAGTGGGGAGCCCAGAGGCACTGATGCCCCCCACAGCTTCCTCCGGCCTTCTGGAGGGAGCACAGGGGCGGCCAGGAGCCTTGGAAAGATGTCAGGGAGGAGAAGGAAGCACTCTGTGCTGCACAGCTGTGGGGAGAACAAATTAGCAGAGCACCCACGAGCACCCACCTATTGGCAGCGGGGACCCATCTTTCCTACAGACAGCCCCTTCCCCTGGTGCTAGTGATCAAGGCTCTCTTGGTCTTGCTCCTGTGCCTTCTCAGACTTTTTTGTAGATTCCCATTCTCTGAGGAGAAGAATATCGAGGTCCCAACCGTTGGCCCCGGGCCCTCTCTCTACACCCACTCCCTGCTCCATCTCAGCCACCTGCCAGCTTCCGGCACCACCTCGGCCAGGCACCCCCAGGTATCTCTCCTTGAGGCCTCACAGGCCCCTCAGGCCCAGGGTTCCAAAACAGCCTTCAGCTTCCACATCCCACTGTACACCCTCGGGGAAGGGGTTTAACTACTGTGCACCACAGGTGAGTCATCGATATGACAGGTGGGTCCACAGGACCCTGAACTGTGGACACTTCCATCCTCCACTCAACACCCCTCAGTGACTCCCCATTGCCCTCAGGACAAAGCTGTCCCTCCTCCCCCTGTCCACACAGCCCCCCTGCAGTCTGGCCGGGCATAGAAAGAGGAGTCAATAAATGACAGAATGAATGAATGAATGAATGAATGAATGAATGAATGAATGAATGAATGAAATTCTATTTCCATAAGATGGAAAGGTCTCGAGTTTTAGGAGACAGATCTGCTCTCCTCTCATCCTCTCACTTGCTGGGATTTAGAGCAAGCGGCCCCACCTCTCAGTTTCTACATCTGAGAGCAGGAGGCGGCCACAGTGTCGCTCAAGGTTGTGAGGGTGAGTGTGGTCACGAGGAGAGAGCACAGCAGGTGCCATGGATGCAAATTCCTGCTCACCACTCCCAGGCTTGTCAAGGGATGTGAACCTGGGGTTTGGACTAAATCATCCACACATTTCTTACTTTTGGTAAAGAAGGGGATGGGGGTGTGTCACTTTCCACGAGGGGGTTGGGTATGGGGGGCTTCCAGAGGCCTGGACCATCTGGGTCTGTGCTGACATGGAAGTTGGGGAAGAAGAGGGGATAAGAAAGTAATTTGGGGAGTTCATATGAGGGGTCAGGGGAGCCTTTCCAACTGTTCCTCAGGAGCTCTGTCTGGAGTGAGCTGGGTCATCTCAGGGTTTGGGGTCTGAGCTAGGTGAGGGCCTCAGGGCAGTCTCAGTCGCCCTACGCTGCTCAGCCCCCAGGATGCCCAAGAAAAGCAGCCAAGGAGAGGTGAATGGCAGTGTGGTCTGGCTTCATCAGCTCTCAGGCCTACCTACCAGAGCCACCCCCACTTGGGTCCAGGGAACAGCCTCAGCTTTCCAAGGTTTGGACAGCCACAACCCCCTGCATGGTGGATGGGGCCCTCCCCGGCACTGGAGCCCCAAGGCCTAGGCTCCACTTCTGTCTTCACCCTGTTTCATGGTTTCTTCTTTCCCTAGTTTTCTTCCCCAAGTTCTTCCAGAAACTCTCACCCTTCAGCTGGTGCCTAAAGGGAAACAAATCTCATTTTTGCTCCTTTTTATAGCATGTGTTATTGGATACCTTTTCCCTAGTAGAAAAGTAATATGTGTTCACCGTGGAAAATCTTTAAGATACATGAAATCTAAAGAAGAAAATAAGGGTCACGATCCTGTCATCAAGACAGAGCCACTGTTAATGTGTTTGGCATATTCTCTTCTGAGAGCTTTCTCAATGTCCATAGATAACCTTGGAATTATATCTGCAGATAGAGTTTCATATCCAGATTTTTCTATTCACCATGGTATCAGGAGTGGAAAAAAAATTAGGGGAGAAGAAAGGGTAGTCTTTATGATTATACAGACTGTGCATGAATTCCAACTCCATGACCCTGAGCCTCAGCTTTTTAGTCTGTAGAATGGGGATGGACAGTGCTGCTGACCTCAAAGAAAGGTCATGAGCCCCACCCCAGACAGATGAGCCCCGCCCCGGATG